CTAGATTTTCTCTTAAAAACTCATTTTCGTTTCCAAATGATTTTACTTCTTTTTGTACGTTTCTTTATGTATATCAAAATGTAGTTTTTATCACAATTTGAGTTATGATGAAGGGGGATCTCAGATACTGGACAAATAGGATGATGAAGGGGGATCTCAGATACTGGACAAATAGGATGATGTAGGGGGATCTCAGATACTGGACAAATAGGATGATGTAGGGGGATCTCAGATACTGGACAAATAGGATGATGTAGGGGGATCTCAGATACTGGACAAATAGGATGATGTAGGGGGATCTCAGATACTGGACAAATAGGATGATGTAGGGGGATCTCAGATACTGGACAAATAGGATGATGTAGGGGGATCTCAGATACTGGACAAATAGGATGATGTAGGGGGATCTCAGATACTGGACAAATAGGATGATGTAGGGGGATCTCAGATACTGGACAAATAGGATGATGTAGGGGGATCTCAGATACTGGACAAATAGGATGATGTAGGGGGATCTCAGATACTGGACAAATAGGATGATGTAGGGGGATCTCAGATACTGGACAAATAGGATGATGTAGGGGGATCTCAGATACTGGACAAATAGGATGATGTAGGGGGATCTCAGATACTGGACAAATAGGATGATGTAGGGGGATCTCAGATACTGGACAAATAGGATGATGTAGGGGGATCTCAGATACTGGACAAATAGGATGATGTAGGGGGATCTCAGATACTGGACAAATAGGATGATGTAGGGGGATCTCAGATACTGGACAAATAGGATGATGTAGGAGAATTTACAGACTGTTTAATATACAGTCTGTTGTTAATAATTAGAAGAAAATACACCAATGATTAATCTATAGCAAAAATGTTTTGTAACCAAACTCTTGTTTTCCCCTCATAGGAATTGTTCTTCACAGCTAAAATTGTGTTGTTAAACATATTTGACTTCAATTAATCTTCTTCTTGCATACTGCATACAGCTGACTGCAGACTTTCTTAATTCAACAAATATATTAGAAATTCTTGTATGTGTGTGATATATAGATCTGCTGACTGAACTACTTCAGGAAGCACCCACCAAGCACAAACAGGTCAGTCGTCATCAAAATCTAATATCTAAAATTCCGTCATGAATAATTTGGTGCAAATTGTGTAAAATTTATTTCTGGGGTGAATCATGTGACTCATTTAGCTATAGAAATAACATAGATAGTGCCCTTTGTAAAAAAAGGATGAATTATTTTTTATTACAATGAAAAGTGACATTACCTTTGTATTGGCAGTGTTATCTCTGTGGGAAGTCCGAGTTTACCGGGTCTTTTACTTCTCTATGTAATGACTGTTTCTTATCGTAAAGGTTTGAAAGGAATGGTATTTTTTTTTATCAATTTTTTTTTTATTATTGAATTTGATAATAGACATATATAAAATTAGGCCTCTTTTGTACAGAGTAATTTGATTTCGGTTGAATTAGTAATTTTGTCCATGGTATTTTTTTGATCATGCTGTCTGCTATAACTTGAAAAGAAACAAGTACTCTTTTGACTTGATCTAAGTGTTGTACTTGAACGTTTCTGAGGATGTTTTCTTGTGAACTGTCTCACCAGTAATGCAGGATTCACTACAGTGGTGCAGTAACTAGCTTACTTTTACCAGTACTCATTATGTACAGAACAATATCAATGACAATTGTCTATGTTTCCTGAAAAATTAATGTGTTTGGTATGAGATGCCATCAAGAACTGGAGAAGTTTGGGTCATAGACCTAACGCATGTCTGTAATTAACAATGCCCCTTCATCAAAGGCAGCCTTGCGCTGGATGCTGTTTGCAATAATTGTCACCGATTAGGACCCTTGTCTGATACATTTCCTGACTGCTTTCAAATATGCACTTAGGAGAAATGGTGACTCTCTGAGATCTTAGATCTGATAGAATCTATAACTGACTTTTGTGGAGTATCATCTGGGACAGAGGATATGGTGCTAGGTTGGACCTGTTACTGATTTTATCAGGTTTACATGTCAAATACAACTGTGGTGTACAGTATCTACTGGTGAACATACTGGTGGTGCCACTGTCAGGGGTGTAGGGTATACACTGGTAAGTTACAATACTGTCAGGGGTGTAGGGTATACACTGATAAGTTACAGTGCTGTCAGGGTTGTAGGGTATACACTGGTGTGTTACAGTGCTGTCAGGGTTGTAGGGTATATACTGGTAAGTTACAGTGCTGTCAGGGTTGTAGGGTATACACTGGTAAGTTACAGTGCTGTCAGGGTTGTAGGGTATACACTGGTAAGTTACAGTGCTGTCAGGGTTGTAGGGTATACACTGGTCAGTTACAGTGCTGTCAGGGTTGTAGGGTATACACTGGTAAGTTACAGTGCTGTCAGGGTTGTAGGGTATATACTGGTAAGTTACCGTGCTGTCTGGGTGGTAGGGTATACACTGGTAAGTTACAGGGCTGTCAGGGTTGTAGGGTATACACTGGTAAGTTACAATACTGTCAGGGTGATAGGGTATACACTGGTAAGTTACAGGGCTGTCAGGGTTGTAGGGTATACACTGGTAAGTTACAGGGCTGTCAGGGTTGTAGGGTATACACTGATAAGTTACAGTTCTGTCAGGTTGTAGGGTATACACTGGTAAGTTACAGTGGTAGGTTGTAGTTAGTTAGGTATATTCTAGAAAGGTTTGACTTCTTTTTTGTCCTTATCACAAGATTAGATCGCAAAGAATATGACAAAATGTAATAATAAAAAATGTGTTTTTCTTTCTGTGGGAGTTTTTGTTTTTTAAGATCACTTGTCTAGATTATTCTAGGCCTCATAAACAAGAAAATGTTTAGCTCCCTATGGAACCAAGGTGTCTGCAAAATCAGCATCCATTATGACATGGTGACCCTGATACCACTGAACACAAGGAGCATGGAATTTTGGGAACATTATAAGAATGCTGTTGGTGTAATGTTTCTGGTTTTGATTGTCTCTGTTTGATCCTACTGGGACTGTACCATTTAGTAATGGTGTCTCACTGGGGCAGACTCCGATGTAACCACTCTCAGACTACATTCTGTACTGCAGGAAACACTCCCAGAACGCATCAGTAATGTATCAGTAATGTCGGCTCACGACTTGTCTTTCTGGACAAGTGATGGATTTGACTGTCTATCATGTCATGACATTATTCTAGTCCAGTAAGAGACTTGACATCTCAAATCCTACAGTTAACACTGGAACCTTTTGTTTGTCCGGCAATCTCCTCCTACATTTTTTCACCGATCTCTTTGAAACTTGGTATACATTATAGACATGATATGAAGTTGTGTCTCCCTTAAAAGAATTTTGATTCAACATTTTTTCAAAAGTTATTGCCCTTTGTTCATTTCAGTGTTTGATATTTTTGTCCGGAGATCTACTCCTACATTTTTTAACGGATTTCTTTGAAACTTAGTAGGCTAAATAATCATGATAAGTTGTTGTGTTTCTTTGAAAAGAATTTTGATTAAACAATTTTTTCAAAAGTTATTGCTCTTTGTTTATTTCAGTATTTGATTTTTGTCCGGCAATCCTCTCCTACATTTTTCAACAGATCTCTTTGAAACTTAGTATTCATTATAATCATGATATGAAGTTGTGTCTCCCCTAAAAGAATTTTGATTCAACGATTTTTGCAAAAGTTATTGCCCTTTGTTCATTTTAGTGTTTAATTTTTTGTCCGGAGATTTTCTTCTACATTTTTTATAGCCTGTCAGCTAACCACTCTTAGAATGATGCAGAGAAATCTTATTTCAATGTAAGAAAGTATATAACACTATATGGCATTCGACTGGCGTATATTGTTCCGCCCTGCGGTACTCTTGTTAGATATATTATATCCTGTTCAAAACACTTTGCCCTTTATACTCTTGGCTTGATTATGAAAATGAAATCTTGAACCATCTTTTCACAGACATTGGATTTATAATATGACATCATTGTACCATTTTACTACTGACTAGACCACACGTTATACAGTTTGTTGTTTGTCATTGTTGTATTTCAGGGTTCCAAGGTCAAGGCCAAGGTGACTGTTGCTATATATAGAAAATCATCAACTGATTCAATTTAAATACTTAGCAACTTCATTATTTGACAGATTTTGGTCAAACTTTATACAAAGGTCAAGTATGAGTATACTTCGGACATTGTTGTATTTCAGGGTTCCAAGGTCAAGGCCAAGGTTGACTGTTGCTATATATAGAAAATCATCAGCTGATTCAATTTAAACACTTAGCAACTTCATTCTATCACAGATTTTGGTCAAACTTTATACAAAGGTCAAATATGGGTATACCCTTGTATTTCAGGGCTCCAAGGTCAAGGCCAAGGTCACTGTTGCTATATATAGAAAATCATCAACTGATTCAATTTAAATACTTAGCAACTTCATTATTTGACAGATTTTGGTCAAACTTTATACAAAGGTCAAGTATGAGTATACTTCGGACATTGTTGTGTTTCAGGGTTCCTAGGTCAAGGTCAAGGTCACTGTTGCTATATATAAAGAAAATCATCAGCTGATTCAATTTAAACACTTAGCAACTTCATTCAATATGTTATGGAGATGGTAATAACATACAGAAAAAACATATGAATATTAAAATCAACTTTGTGTGTGTGCATGTTTCAGGGTATCAAGATCAAAGTGGTTGTAATTTTTTATAGAACACTGAAACTAATTTTACATGGCAGCGGGGGCATTTATGTCTTACAGACATTTTCTAGTTGTATCAGCACTGATTAGTAAAGTCTTCCAGCATTATGTAATGCTGTAAATACAGACACTGCTTTTTGCTTATAAGAATAGTAGTTATAAACATTTATCTAATTCATAAACATCAATGCAGACACGTTGAAGTTGTTGTGGCTTTGTGGCTTGACCCGGTTTGTATAAACAATGTTTATTGTTGTGATTGTACCTGTGTTTTATTGCATGTCTTTGTAGAAGTGGTGGTGGAGCCTGATGAACCAATTCTCGTCGGTGGATGTGCAGGTACACGTTACGGCTGCTGTGAGGACAGACTAACTTCAGCCCTAGGAGAAAACCGACAAGGTTGTCCTGAGACCGAACCAGTTTTAATTGGTGGATGTGCAGGTACACGCTATGGCTGTTGTGAGGATGGTGTTTCCTCTGCTCTAGGAGAAAGTAGATACGGCTGCCCTGAAACGCGTACCCAACAGCCCCCAGTGGTAGGAGGATGTGGTTCTACACCTTATGGCTGTTGTGAGGATGGTGTTTCCTCTGCTCTCGGAGAAAATAGATATGGCTGCCCTGAAACACGTACACAACAGCCCCCAGTGGTAGGAGGATGTGGTTCTACACGCTATGGCTGTTGTGAGGATGGTGTTTCCTCTGCCCTTGGAGAAAATAGATACGGTTGCCCTGAAACGCGTACACCACGACCTCCGCTATTAGGAGGGTGTCGTGGAACACGTTATGGCTGTTGTGCAGATGGTCGTACATCAGCTCTTGGGGAGAATAGACATGGCTGTCCTGAAACGCTTGTAACTTCAGGTGGGTATCACCAGACATTTTGGTTATAATACATAGACATGAAGGTTCTCATCTGGGAATCTGTTGCGATGTATTATAATGTCTTGAGTGAAAGGAAAACAAATATATCATGAGTCATGTTGCCTTTTGTGTAAGAATGATGCGAATTGCCTGAAAAGTAATTTACTTTGCACACTTATCCATTTCGAAGCATTTTTGAAACATCCCAATTGTACATGTGCTGTTTTTTTCCTATTGCTAAGGATAGGAATGTATGTTTGACCACAACAGTGTCATGTTTGATGTATATTCTACGTTTTATTTGTGGACTTAAAATACATATTGGTGTTTGTAACATCTCAAGTTGAGTTTTATTGGTAACTTAATCATTAGTATCACAAGAACTTGAACCACATTGTACCCATTTGTATCACAAGTGTAGCCAACCCTCTGTGAATGCTTGATTAAATATTATAAATAGTAACATTTCATCCTCATTAAATGAAAATATAGTAAAATTGTATCATTGAACAGGTGTTATACGGATGTAGGTACAGAACAGGTGCTATACTGATGTAGGTACAGAACAGGTATTATACTAATGTAGGTTCAGAACAGGTGTTATACAGATGTAGGTACAGAACAGGTGTAATACAGATGTAGGTAGAAAACAGGTGTTATACAGATGGATGTAGGTACAGAACAGATGTTATACTGACAAGGTAGGTACAGAACAGGTGTTATACTGATGTAGGTACAGTACAGGTGTTATACTGATAATGTAGGTACAGAACAGGTGTTATACTGATGTAGGTACAGAACAGGTGTTATACTGAAGATGTAGTCACAGAACAGGTGCCATACTGATGTAGGTTCAGAACAGGTGCTATACTGATGTAGGTTCAGAACAGGTATTATACAGATGGATGTAGGTACAGAACAGGTGTTATACTAATGATGTAGGTACAGAACAGGTGTTATACTGATGTAGGTACAGGACAGGTGTTATACTGATGTAGGTACAGGACAGGTGTTATACTGATGTAGGTACAGAACTGGTGATATACTGATGTAGGTACAGAACAGGTGTTATACTTATGATGTAGGTACAGAACAGGTGTTATACTGATGTAGGTACAGAGCAGGTGTTATACAGAAGAGGGTAGAAAACAGGTGTTATACTAATGATGTAGGTACAGGACAGGTGTTATACTGATGTAGATACAGAACAGGTGCTATACAGATGTAGGTAGAGAACAGGTGTTATACAGCTGTAGGTACAGAACAGATGTTATACTGATGATGTATGTACAGAACAGGTGTAATACAGATGTAGGTACAGAGCAGGTGATATACTGATGGAGGTACAGAACAGGTGTAATACAGATGTAGGTACAGAAAAGGTGTTATACTGATGATGTAGGTACAGGACAGGTGTTATACTGATGTAGGTACAGAACTGGTGTTATACTGATGTAGGTACAGAACAGGTGTTAAACTGATGTAGGTAAAGGACAGGTGTTATACTGATGTAGGTACAGAACAGGTGTTATACCGATGTAGGTACAGAACAGGTGTTATACTGATGTAGGTACAGGACAGGATATATATATAAACTGATGATGTAGATACAGGACAGATGTAATACTAATGATGTAGATACAGGACAGGTGTGATACTGATGATGTAGATACAGGACAGATGTTATAACGATGATGTAGATACAGGTCAGGTGTTATATTGATTATGTAGATACAGGACAGGTGTGAAACTGATGATGTAGGTACAGAACAGGTGTTATACTGATGATGTAGATACAGGACAGGTTTTATACTGATGTAGGTACAGAACAGGTGTTATACTGATGATGTAGACACAGGACTAATGTAATACTAATGATGTAGATACAGGACAGATGTTATACTGATGATGTAGATACAGGACAGGTGTGATACTGATGATGTAGATACAGGACAGGTGTTTTACTGATGATGTAGATACAGGACTGATGTAATACTGATGATGTAGACACAGGACTAATGTCATACTAATGATGTAGATACAGGACAGATGTTATACTAATGATGTAGTTACAGGACAGATGTTATACTAATGATGTTGTTACAGGACAGATATTATACTGATGCTGTAGATACAGGACAGGTGGTATACTGATGATGTAGATACAGGACAGATGTAATACTGATGATGTATCCAGGACTAATGTAAAACTAATGATGTAGATACAGGACAGATGTTATACTGATTATGTAGATACAGGACAGATGAATGTTATACTGATGAAGATACAGGACAGATGTTATACTAATGATGTAGTTACAGGACAGATGTTATACTGATACTGTAGATACAGGACTGATGTAATACTGATGATGTAGACACAGAACTAATGTAATACTAATGATGTAGATACAGGACAGATGTTATACTAATGATGTAGATACAGGACAAGTGTGATACTGATGATGTAGATACAGGATAGGTGTTTTATTGATGATGTAGAAACAGGACAGATGTTATACTGATGATGTAGGTACAGAACAGATGTTATACTAATGATGTAGATACAGGACAGGTGCTATACTGATGATGTAGATACAGGACAGATGATTTACTAATGATGTAGATACAGGACAGATGTTATACTGATGCTGTAGATACAGGACTGATGTAATACTGATGATGTAGACACAGGACTAATGTCATACTAATGATGTAGATACAGGACAGATGTTATACTGATGCTGTAGATACAGGACTGATGTAATACTGATGATGTAGACACAGGACTAATGTAATACTAATGATGTAGATTCAGGACAAGGGTGATACTGATGATGTAGATACAGGACAGATGATTTACTAATGATGTAGATACAGGACAGATGTTATACTGATGATGTAGATACAGGACAGATGTAATACTGATGATGTAGATACAGGATAGATGAATGTTATAATAATGATGTAGATACAGGACAGATGTTATACTGATGCTGTAGATACAGGACTGATGTAATACTGATGATGTAGACACAGGACTAATGTAATACTAATGATGTAGATACAGGACAAGTGTGATACTGATGATGTAGATACAGGACAGATGATTTACTAATGATGTAGATACAGGACAGATGTTATACTGATGATGTAGGTACAGAACAGGTGTTTTACTGATGATGTAGATACAGGACAGATGTAATACTGATGATGTAGATACAGGATAGATGAATGTTATACTGATGATGTAGGTACAGAACAGATGTTATACTAATTATGTAGATACAGGACAGGTGCTATACTGATGATGTAGATACAGGACAGATGATTTACTAATGATGTAGATACAGGACAGATGTTATACTAGTTATGTAGATACAGGACAGATGTTATACTGATGATGTAGGTACAGAACAGGTGTTATACTGATGATGTAGGTACAGAACAGGTGTTTTACTGATGATGTAGATACAGGACAGATGTAATACTGATGATGTAGATACAGGATAGATGAATGTTATACTAATGATGTAGATACAGGACAGATGTAATACTAATGATGTAGATACAGGGCAGATGTTATACTAATGATGTAGATACAGGACAGATGTTATACTAATGATGTAGATACAGAACAGGTGCTATACTGATGATGTAGATACAGGACAGATGTTATACTTATGATGTAGATACAAGACAGGTGTTTTGCTAATGATGTAGATACAGAGCAGGTGTTTTGCTGATGTCAGGGATTGCACTGTGCTGCATAAGATACCTCATCTTGTATTTGTAGATGTGTGCCGACTAGACAGTGAAAGAGGTTCATGTTCTGACTATACTGTCAGATGGTACTACAATTCTGATGAGTCTCGCTGTGAACGATTTTGGTACGGTAGCTGTGATGGTAATGGAAACAACTTTGCTGATGAGCAGGAGTGTAATGCAGCATGTGTCAACGCCCCTGTTGTCACCTCAGGTGTGTACAATATGTTACTTTTATAGACCAATGTAAGGTGAGTGGTCATACAGGTAATAATGTAACGTGAGTGGNATACAGAACAGATGTTATACTGATGTAGATACAGAGCAGGTGTTATACAGAGGTAGGTACAGAACAGGTGATATACTGATGATAGAGGTACAGAACGGGTGTTACACTGATAATGTAGGTACAGAACAGGTGTTATACTGATAATGTAGGTACAGAACAGGTGTTATACTGATGTAGGTACAGAACAGGTGATATACTGATGTAGGTTCAGAACAGGTGTTATACAGATGTAGGTTCAGAACAGGTGTTATACAGATGTAGGTACAGAGCAGGTGTTATACAGAGGTAGGTACAGAACAGGTGATATACTGATGATAGAGGTACAGAACGGGTGTTATACTGATAATGTAGGTACAGAACAGGTGTTATACTGATGAGGTAGGTACAGAACAGGTGTTATACAGATGTAGGTACAGAACAGGTGCTATACTGATGTAGGTACATAACAGGTGTTATACTGATGTAGGTACAGAACAGGTGCTATACTGATGTAGGTTCAGAACAGGTGTTATACAGATGTAGGTACAGAACAGGTGTTATACTGATGATAGAGGTACAGAACAGGTGTCATACTGATGATGTAGATACAGAACAGGTGTTATACTGATGTAGGTAGAAAACAGGTGTTATACAGATGTAGATACAGAACAGATTAATGTTATACTGATGATGTAGATACAGGACAGATGTAATACTGATGATGTAGATACAGGACAGGTGCTATACTGATGATGTAGATACAGGACAGATGTTATACTAATGATGTAGATACAGGACAGATGTTATACTGATGATGTAGATACAGGACAGATGTAATACTGATGATGTAGATACAGGACAGATGTTATACTGATGATGTAGATACAGGACAGATGTTATACTGATGATGTAGATACAGGACAGATGTTATACTGATGATGTAGATACAGGACAGATGTTATACTGATGATGTAGATACAGGACAGATGTTATACTGATGATGTAGATACAGGACAGATGTTATACTGATGATGTAGATACAGGACAGATGTTATACTGATGATGTAGATACAGGACAGATGTTATACTGATGATGTAGATACAGGACAGATGTTATACTGATGATGTAGATACAGGACAGATGTTATACTAATGATGTAGATACTGGACAGATGTTATACTAATGGTGTAAATACAGGACAGATGTTATACTAATGATGTAGATACAGGACAGATGTAATACTGATGATGTACATGTAGATACAGGATAGATGAATGTTATACTGATGATGTAGATACAGGACAGATGTAATACTGATGATGTAGATACAGGACAGATGTAATACTGATGATGTAGATACAGGACAGATGTTATACTAATTATGTAGATACAGGACGGATGTTATACTAATGATGTAGATACAGGACAGATGTTATACTAATGATGTAGATACAGAGCAGGTGTTTTACTGTAGGTACAGAACAGGTATTATACTGATGTAGGTTCAGAACAGGTGTTATACTGATGTAGGTACAGAACAGGTGTTATACTGATGTAGGTACAGAACAGGTGTTATACTGATGTAGGTACAGGACAGGTGTTATACTGATGTAGGTACAGAACAGGTATTATACTGATGTAGATACAGAGCAGGTGTTTTACTGATGTCAGGGATTGCACTGTGATGCACAAGATACCTGATCTTGTATTTGTAGATGTGTGCCGACTAGACAGTGAAAGAGGGTCATGTTCTGACTATACTGTCAGATGGTACTACAATTCTGATGAGTCTCGCTGTGAACGATTTTGGTACGGTAGCTGTGATGGTAATGGAAACAACTTTGCTGATGAGCAGGAGTGTAATGCAGCATGTGTCAACGCCCCGGTTGTCACCTCAGGTGTGTACATTATGTTACTTTTATAGATCAATGTAAGGTGAGTGGTCATACAGGTAATAATGTAACGTGAGTGGTCATACAGGTAACAATGTAAGGTGAGTGGTCATACAGGTGATAATGTAAGGTGAGTGGTCATACAGGTAACAATGTGAGGTGAGTGGTCAAACAGGTGATAATGTAACGTGAGTGGTCATACAGGTAACAATGTAAGGTGAGTGGTCATACAGGTGATAATGTAAGGTGAGTGGTCATACAGGTAATAATGTAAGGTGAGTGGTCATACAGGTAGCAATGTGAGGTGAGTGGTCAAACAGGTGATAATGTAAGGTGAGTGGTTATACAGGTGATAATGTAAGGTGAGTGGTCATACAGGTAACAATGTAAGGTGAGTGGTCATACAGGTAACAATGTAAGGTGAGTGATCATACAGGTAACAATGTAAGGTATGTGGTCATACAGGTAACAATGTAAGGTGTGTGGACATACAGGTAGCAATGTAAGGTGAGTGATCATACAGGTAACAATGTAAGGTGTGTGGTCATACAGGTAGCAATGTAAGGTATGTGGTCATACAGGTAACAATGTTAGGTGTGTTGTCATACAGGTAACAATGTAAGGTATGTGGTCATACAGGTAACAATGTAAGGTATATGGTCATACAGGTAACAATTAATACAATTATTCGCCTGCAAAAATGTTAAACAATTGAGAAACTTAGTAAGTATCTAATTCAGGCTACTTCTAAAAGAAAGTCTATGCTTAACATCTGAGCAATCCTGTATGTTCCAGCTTTGTGCCACTGACAATGATTATATATTTTCTTTTGTATGATGACAACATTGCTATGATGTCATCTTGTATTTTACTTATGTTCTCCGCCATCTTGCATAAATGGATTGTAATATTTACTTGTATGTTCATGTATATTGTAACTCCTATATGCTATCTGTTGCATTTGGAAATAAAGATATTGAAAATTGAAATTGAACACTGTAAGGTGAGTGGTCATACAGGTAACAATGTTAGGTGTGTGGTCATACAGGTAACAATGTAAGGTATGTGGTCTTATAGGTAACAATGTAAAGTGAGTGGTCATTCAGGTAACAATAAAATTTTATAGGTGTTTTCTAGTAACAATGTAAGATGTCAGGTGTTATGAGATATTAAGTAAATGTTTGCACTGGTTCATACCCTAAAATCTCAATAATAAGCCTGCTTTGAAAAATAAGACAACTACGAAAATAAGCTTGTCAATCCTATCTCAAAAACAAACCACTTTTGAAAATAGGCCACCAATGAAAATATGCATTGGTATGCAAGGTAGGCATCATATGTTTCCTGTTGGCTGAAACAAGTTTTGCATGACATTATTAATAATTGCAACAATTTGATAAAAGGAAAAGGCAGAAATTAAAAATAAGAATAAGCCATGGCTTATTATCAAGAAGTGAGGGAGTATAGTAGTAGTATTTAGCTTACCTGGCCCAAAGGGCCAAGTGAGCTTATGCCGAGGCGAATTATTCGTCGTTCGTCGCCCATTATTTGTCAACTTTTCCCTTTAAAATGCTACTAGTCCTTAACGGCTCTAAGGATTTTGTCCAAATTTGGTCTGGAGCATCATTGACCAAAGGGTTCTCAATTTTGAATATACGAATGGTTATGGCCCCCCTTTGGGCAGAGAGGCAGGGCCAAATAAGGGGAAAATAAGTAAATCTTCAAAAAAAATCCTTTTCTTAACCAATTGAAGGATTTTGACTAAATTTGTTCTAGAGCATCTTTGAACAAAGGGGTCTCAACTTTGTATAAACCGAGGGTGTGGCCTGTTTGGGGGCAGATGTGTAGGGCCCAATAGGGGAAATAGAGCTTAATATTTAAAAATCCTTTTCCTTCCAAGTGATTGGAGGGATTTTTACCTAATTTGGTCTAGAGCATCCTTTAATTGGCAAGTGGACCTCAGGTTTATATTAACAGTGTGTGTGGCTCTCCAGGGGGTAAAGGACTGTAGCTTAATAACGGAAATAGCGGTAAATCGATAAAATCCTTCACCTTCCATATGAATTAAGGGATTTTATCCCTACCCTATAACCAAATATACAAAATCTAGGCATGAAGAAAAGAAAACCTACCAGTAGTTCTCCTTGATAAACCTGTATGGTACTCAGCAGGTTTCAAATTGAAAATAAAATATCAGGTGAGCTATTAAGGCCTCTGGGCCTCTTGTTAGCTTTTATCCTAACAGTACCCCAGAAAATAAATGTAAATGTGACAGTCGTGATGGCTGTGATGTTATGTGAATTTTTGTTCCAGCTCCGAGAGAGGAATACAAGCCTGGCCAATGTCCTCCCGTAGCCCGTGACCGTAGTGGCTCATGTGATAGCGAGTGTCAATCAGACTATGACTGTCAGGGAGCCCAGAAGTGTTGCACAAGTTCCAGTGGGTGTGGACGTTCATGTCGGAGTCCTCAGGGTAGGTATCAACACCTCATTAAATCTGTCAGAGCCCTCACTGTTGGTATAAATTCTCATTACACGTTGGACGTTCCTGTCGGAGTCCTCAGGGTAGGTATCAACTCCTCATTAAATCTGTCAGAGCCCTCACTGTTGGTATAAATTCTCATTACACGTTGGACGTTCCTGTCGGAGTCCTCAGGGTAGGTATCAACTCCTCATTAAATCTGTCAGAGCCCTCACTGTTGGTATAAATTCTCATTACACGTTGGACGTTCCTGTCGGAGTCCTCAGGGTAGGTATCAACTCCTCATAACACCTGTTACAGTATACAATGACTGAGGCTCGGTTCAAAATTAGCACAAAAATAATTAGCATACTGCACTCTGGTTCATATTTCATTGATATCATCATACTAGTTATCCCACGCTTTCACCGAAACGGGAGATATTAATTTGGGTTTGTCCGTCTGTCCGTCTGTCTGTCTGTCACGTTTTGTTTCCATGCAATGTTGTCCGATGTTCTTCAAACTTGGTCATAGGGTTAAATGCCTTAAGGGCTCAGCCAAGTTCGATGACCACTTTCAGCGGACCCCATTTGACGGAGTTATGGTCCCTTGAATAATAAAAACGTCATTATCTGCTGCGCTTCGATTCCGTGCAATAACTACAACAAATGCTAACTGATTTTCTTCAAACCTGGTCACAGGGTTAAATGCCTTAAGGGCTCAGCCAAGTTTGATGACCATTTTCAGCGGAACCCCTTTGGCAGAGTTATGGCCCCTTGAATAGCGAAAAACATCATTATCTGCTGCTTTTCATTTCCGTGCAATAACTACAACAAATGCTAACTGATTTTCTTCAAACCTGGTCACAGGGTTAAATGCCTTCAGGGCTCAGCCAAGTTTGATGACCACTTTCAGCGGACCCCATTTGACGGAGTAATGGCCCCTTGAATAATAAAAACGTCATTATCTGCTGCGTTTTGATTCAGTGCAATAACTACAACAAATGTTAACCAATTTTCTGCAAACTTGGTCACAGGGTTAAATGCCTTAAGGGCTCAGCCAAGGTCGATGCAAATATTAGCCAAATTCCTTCAAACTTGATAACAATGTTTGTGTTTCTCTGTCTCTGCACCCATCTCAGGCACTCTTTGGTTTATGTGTGATAATTGCTGTAGATATTGTTCAGATGTTTCAACCAAATTCCGTAAGTTTGCTAACCAATGTGATTTGTGCATATTTATGGATTAATCAATGAGGTATAGGGCTTTTTTTCTTTCTTCAAGTTTCAAGCTTTACATTATGTCTCAACAGCACAATACTCACATGTTTTGACCTAACCTCAATGTTAACCTACAAATATGCAAGCGGAGGATATGAATTCCACAAATTTACTTGTTTGTTATACTTATATATCTTGACCTCAGATTAAACAAGTTTGATGATCAAAAGTGACTAGATTCTAATGAACTGTGATCAATATTTATTCCACCGTCATCAGATGGTGGGCTGTTTAAGTCACACTTCGTCAGTGGTCTGTGGTACATCCTTAGACAATTCCTGTTAGTGCTATTTCTCAGAAAGTACCAGAGGGATCTTTCTCAAAATTTCCCATGATCCCTAGTTATGCATATCAAATTTTGTGATTGGTCAGAACACCAAGATGAACAACAGGTGGGCATCCTGAATTTTGAGAGTTAAAATGTGTTAGTGCTATTTCTCAGAAATTACTAGAGAACTTTTTTTCAAATTTCACATAAAGGTTCCCTGGTTATACATATTGAGTTTTGGGACTGATAGGAAAACCATGATAGCCACCCAGACAATCATCTTGAATTTTGACAGTTCAATTTTGTTATGACTATTTTATCTGTATGTTTCCCCCTTGGTCCTCTTGTTTGAAATACCCATGGCCCTTATGAGAATCATCTGTCATTGACAGAACTTTTAATCATGTAAAGATTACAATGTTTTAGCATTTTGCATAGAGTTATGCAATTCTTATAAAATAACATTTGTCATAGTGGCAAATAAAATATGACATTACAAGGTTTAAGTTAATATACAAGATTCCTGTTGAGGAATTCCCACATGGGACTGGGTAATAGTACATGTAAGGAAAATGAAAAGTGAACAAGGTGGTAGATCTGATGAAGGTCCTTCCATGGATGGCACCAAGGATCTCTTGTTTTATTCTAGAACTTAATTTGAAGTTGAGTAGAGAAAGTGCATAATTTATTAACGAACTGTGCTCAGATAAGTCTGATGTTTTGTTACAATAACTTAAAGATATGACTGGATTTTTGAAAAAACTTTTCCAATATTTAAACTTTAAAGGCAGAGGCTAAGTTCAGTTGTAAGAGAAATCTGTCAGTAGGATTTTATTGTTTAACATGAAGTGATTTAGCTCCAAGGGAGGCAATTTGAAAACATTTCTGTACATTTAAAGATTTAACAAAGACATTATAGATATATGACAGATATGCATCAATGATTTCAAGTCAATTTGGCAGGGTTTGGGCGACTGGTATTACAATCCTAGTATTAGAATTTTGTTTGCATGTATTTCAGGTTATAATTTGTTTTGAAGAAATCCTGTGTCATTGATCTGATGTCTCATACAATAATCATACAAGTGCCAAACGAGTGTTGTATATATCCTCTAGCTGCTCTCTATTCTCTGATAGTACTGATCTACCACCAAACAAACCAAATCTGAAAAGTAGTCTGAAGGTTTTTGTGCCAGGCAGTAGTAGGTACAGTTGAAGTTAACCATAACCATTACAGGAGAAACAGAAGAATTCAAGCCTGGTTCCTGTCCCGTTATTCCCCTTGGCCGGATGGGTGCATGTGTGGAGGAGTGCCGCTCTGATTACGAGTGTTTGGCAGATCAGAAGTGCTGCAGCAACGGATGTGGTCACACCTGTCGGGATACACAATGTAAGGGGGCATGGTCACACCTGTCAGAATACACAATGTAAGGGGGCATGGTCACACATGTCGGGATACACAATGTAAGGATTCATGGTCACACCTGTCAGAATACACAATGTAAGGGGGCATGGTCACACCTGTCGGGATACACAATGTAAGGGTTCATGGTCACACCTGTCGGAATACACAATGTAAGGGGGCATGGTCACACCTGTCGGGATACACAGGGTGAGGGTGTGTGATCACACCTGTCAGGATACTCAATGTAAGGGGGTGTGGTCACAGCTGTCGGGATACACAATGTAAGGGTTCATGGTCACACCTGTCGGAATACACAATGTAAGGGGGCATGGTCACACCTGTCAGAATACACAATGTAAGGGGGCAGGGTCACACCTAGTAGGATACACTGTGTTAGGGGGCAGGGTCACACCAAGTAGGATACACTGTGTAATGGGCAGGGTCACACCTAGTAGGTTACACTGTGTTAGGGGGCAGGGTAACACTTAGTAGGTTACACTGTGTTAGGGGACAGGGTCACACCTAGTAGGATACACTGTGTTAGGGGGCAAGGTCACACCTAGTAGGATACACTGTGTTAGGGGACAGGGTCACTCCTAGTAGGTTACACTGTGTTAGGGGGCAGGGTAACACCTAGTAGGTTACACTGTGTTAGGGGACAGGGTCACACCTAGTAGGATACACTGTGTTAGGGGGCAGGGTCACACCTAGTAGGATACACTGTGTTAGGGGGCAAGGTCACACCTAGTAGGATACACTGTGTTAGGGGGCAGGGTCACACCTAGTAGGATACACTGTGTTAGGGGGCAAGGTCACACCTAGTAGGATACACTGTGTTAGGGGGCAGGGTCACACCTAGTAGGATACACTGTGTTAGGGGGCAAGGTCACACCTAGTAGGATACACTGTGTTAGGGGGCAGGGTCACACCTAGTAGGATACACTGTGTTAGGGGGCAAGGTCACACCTAGTAGGATACACTGTGTTAGGGGGCAGGGTCACACCTAGTAGGTTACACTGTGTTAGGGGGCANGTCACACCTGTCGGGATACACAATATAAGGGCATGGTCACACCTGTCGGGATACACAATGTAAGGGGGCATGATCACACCTGTCGGGATACACAGGGTGAGGGTGTGTGATCACACCTGTCAGGATACTCAATGTAAGGGGGTGTGGTCACACCTGTCTGGATACACAATGTAAAGGGACATGGTCACACCTGTCTGGATACACAGGGTGAGGGTGTGTGGTCACACCTGTCTGGATACACAGGGTGAGGGGGCATGATCACACCTGTCAGGATACTCAATGTAAGGGGGAGTGGTCCCACCTAGTAGAATACACAGTACTAGGGAACAGGGTCAAACCTGTCAGTATACAGTGTGTAAGGGGCAAGGGTCACTCCAAGTAGAATACACAGTGTAAGGGGGCGTGGTCACACCTGGTATGATACACAGTAGAAAGGGCAGGGGCACACCTGTCAGGGGGCAGGGTCACAACTAGAAGGATACACTGCATAGGGGGGAGGGTCACAACTATTAGGATACACTATATAAGGGGGCAGGGTCACACCTAGTAGGATACACTGAATAAGAGGGCAGGGTCACTCCTAGTAGGATACACTGTGTAATGGGCAGGGTCACACCAAGTAGGATACACTGTGTAAGGGGGCAGGGTCACACCTGTCAGAATACACTGCATAAGGGGGCAGGGTCACACCTAGTAGGATACACAGCATAAGGGGGAAGGGTCACACCTGGTAAGATACAGTGTGTAATGGGCAGAGTCACAGCTAGCAGGATACACTGCGCAAGGGGACAGGGTCACACCAAGTAGGATACACTGGGTAAGGGGGCAGGGTCACAAATAACAGGATACACTGCACAAGGGAGGCAGGGTCACACCAATTAGGATACACTGTGTTAGGGGGCAGGGTCACACCAAGTAGGATACACTGCATTAGGGGGCAGGGTCACACCTAGTAGGTTACGTGCATAAGGTGGCAGGGTCACACGTGTATATGTATATGTATATGGCATGTTTATATCTATAAGAAGACATAGTGTAAGGGATGGGTCAAGTAAAATTTTTGTGACTGAAAATTACGAATGATTTGTATGTTTTGATGATACGCTTTTAAAAGGAATTTTGTTAATTCAGATGAGCGCCCAGAGTACAAGGAAGGACAGTGTCCAGTTCTACGACAAGGTGAAGTTGGAACATGTGCCAATGAGTGTCAGACTGATTATCAGTGTTCCGGCACCCAGAAGTGCTGTTATAACGGCTGTGGGTACTCCTGTTTCCAGTCTGGGGATCAAAGAGGTAGGTTTATAGAGGTGGTGGGTACTCCTGTTTCCAGCCTGGGGACAGTAGAGGTAGGTATATAGAGGTGGTGGGTACTCCTGTTTCCAGTCTGGGGACTGTAGANTATTAGTTATATAGTCAGTAACTGACTATATAACGAATTTATCGCATCGAGGACCCTTTTGCGTTTGGGCAGACTGACTGTTTAGTCGCTTCTTGTCTATTTCTTCCGTTGTCGTCTGCCCAAATCTCTCCATGTTGTTGTTGTTTGTCTCTCAATGTCACCGAAACGCTTAGATAGGGGGACGGCACCCACGCTAAAACAAAAGACGGTCGCTTGTGACAGCGTCTTACTAATTTTGCCTGGCGTAGGGGAAGCAACTCCTATCATTTTACGATACAATGTAGCGAATGGGAATTACGGTGAGCATTGTATCATTTTCAGAATATTCAGGTACCCGGTATCTGTTGTTTTAGTTTTGAAGCGGTGAGCAGTGGGCGGCCATATTGCCCTATAATGGAATCCTACTGACCCTATATAGAAAATTAGAGGGTCACCACGTGACAGCTCTAAACCAATGGATTTTGGACATTTTTGTCCGAGGTGCGATAAACTGTGTTAGGGGGCAGGGTCACACGTGTATATGTATATGGCATGTTTATATCTGTAAGGACACATAGTGTAAGGGATGGGTCAAGTAAAATTTATGTGTCTGAAAATTACGAATGATTTGTATGTTTTGATGATACGATTTTAAAGGAATTTTGTTAATTCAGATGAGCGCCCAGAGTACAAGGAAGGACAGTGTCCAGTTCTCCGACAAGGTGAAGTTGGAACATGTGCCAATGAGTGTCAGACTGATTATCAGTGTTCTGGCACCCAGAAGTGCTGTTATAACGGCTGTGGGTACTCCTGTTTCCAGTCTGGGGATCAAAGAGGTAGGTTTATAGAGGTGGTGGGTACTCCTGTTTCCAGTCTGGGGATCAAAGAGGTGGGTTTATAGAGGTGGTGGGTACTCCTGTTTCAAGTCTGGGGACAGTAGAGGTAGGTATATAGAGGTTGGGGGTACACCTGTTTCCAGTCTGGGGATTGTAGAGGTAGGTATATAGAGGTGGTGGGTGCACCTGTTTCCAGTCTGGGGACTGTAGAGGGAGGTATATAGAGGTGGTGGGTACTCCTGGTTCCAGTCTAGGGACTATAGAGGTAGGTATATAGAGGTTAAGGTACACCTGTTTCCAGTCTGGGGACAGTAGAGGTAGGTATATAGAGGTTGGGGTACACCTGTTTCCAGTCTGGGGATTGTAGAGGTAGGTATATAGAGGTGGTGGGTACACCTGTTTCCAGTCTGGGGATTGTAGAGGTAGGTATATAGAGGTGGTGGGTGCACCTGTTTCCAGTCTGGGGACTGTAGAGGAAGGTATATAGAGGTTGGGGTACACCTGTTTCCAGTCTGGGGATTGTAGAGGTAGGTATATAGAGGTGGGGGGTGCACCTGTTTCCAGTCTGGGGACTGTAGAGGTAGGGATATAGAGGGTAAGGTACACCTGTTTCCAGTCTGGGGACTGTAGAGGCAGGTATATAGAGGGTGGGGGTACTCCTGTTTCCAGTCTGGGGATCAAAGAGGTAGGTTTATAGAGGTGGTGGGTACTCCTGTTTCCAGTCTGGGGACTGTAGAGGTAGGTATATAGAGGTGGTGGGTGCACCTGTTTCCAGTCTGGGGACTGTAGAGGTAGGTAAATAGAGGTTGTTGGTTTCCAGTCTTTACACCACAGATACAGAAAGTGGGTGCATCTGCACCCAAATTGGAGCTATTGACCATGTTAAAGGGATTCAAATTCAACAAATGCTATGAACATGTCTGGTATAAAAAAACAAATCTTTTTTGTTGCTTAAGGATTTAAGAAAGGTTTATTAATATATTTCTCAGACTGTGACCATGAGCCTTTAACTCGTGTTTTATTTTGTGTTTTGTTTACCAGTAGTACCAATGACAGCTCCACGGGACCTGACTCCGGTGTCAGTAGATGGCAACGCTCTGGCTGTCACCCTGAACTGGCAGCCACCTAAGGACACCAATGGACAGATCGAACGTAAGGATAGAAGGAAGATTAATTCTAATTGTGGAAAGGACTGTTTTTGATAATAATGGAATTGAGTCTACATTAGCAATGATTTCCCATAGAGAATAAAATACTGGATTTTAAAAACTTATTGCAGTATCATAAAATTTAAGTAGAAGGTTGACAAAAACATATTATATCAAACATCACATTAATGTCCTCAAAATAGTCCTGTCCTCTGTTTTCATTCGATGGAGCCATATTCAGCAAATTTGCTCCTCGTTTTAGAGTTTTCCAACTTCGCTTTCAAAAATTAAAAAAAGGGGAAAAAATCTAAATTGAACATGATAACGACCACAAAAAAAACCCGTTTTACTTCTTTGGAGAATCTGAGGCAGAAATAAAGTCTTCACATATACCTGTATACTCTCATTCAATCTGGATTTTAACAAGATTTCAATGATTCTAGCCTACAATTGGTTGTCAATGCTTTATACTGGGAAATTTTGCAGTTTAATTTTTGCTCATTAATCATTACAGCAAATATAAGTAAACAGCGTAATAAACAGTAACTAGATGTGAAGGGGGAAGTTTTATTTATACATGATAACATGACTTCTACATCATGCAGGCTACATGTTGTACTACACAACCAATGCCCGGGAGGAGGAGGATAGCTGGAACCGCCAGGAAATGGTGGGGGACCATCTCACCAGTACCGTCAACAATCTCAAACCAAACACCTTGTATTACTTCAAGATCCGTGCTAGCAACCGTGAAGGCATGGGGCCAGCCTCTAAGCCAGTATTCTATACTACACCGAATGGTAAGTAAGGGGAGGGAATGAGGCCATTAACTACAGTCAATGGTTAGTAAGGGAAGGGCATGAGGCCATTTACTGTAGCCAGTGGTTAGTGAGGGAAGGGCATGAAGCCATTTACTGTAGCCAGTGGTTAGTAAGGAAAGGGCATGATGCCATTTACTGTAGCCAGTGGTTAGTAAGGGGAGGGCAAGAGGTCATTTACTGTAGCCAGTGGTTAGTAAGGGAAGGGCATGAGGTCATTTACTGTAGCCAGTGGTTAGTAAGAGGAATGCATGAGGCCATTTACTGTAGCCAGTGGTTAGTAAGGGAAGGACATGATGCCATTTACTGTAGCCAGTAGTTAGTAAGGGGAGGGCATGAGGTCATTTACTGTAGCCAGTGGTTAGTAAGAGGAGGGCATGAGGCCATTTACTGTGGTCAGTGGCTAGTAAGAGGAGGGCATGAAGCCATTAACTGTGGTCAGTGGTTAGTAAGAGGAGGGCATGAGGCCATTTACTGTGGTCAGTGGTTAGTAAGAGGAGGGCATGAGGCCATTTACTACAGTCAGTGGTTAGTAAGAGGAGGGCATGAGGCCATTTACTGTAGTCAGTGGTTAGTAAGGGGAGGGCATGAGGCCATTTACTACAGTCAGTGGTTAGTAAGGGGAGGGCATGAGCCCATTTACTACAGTCAGTGGTTAGTAAGGGGAGGGCATGAGGTCATTTACTGTAGCCAGTGGTTAGTAAGAGGAGGGCATGAGGCCATTTACTACAACCAGTGGTTAGTAAGAGGAGGGCATGAGGCCATTAACTGTGGTCAGTGGTTAGGAAGAGGAGGGCATGAGGCCATTTACTATAGTCAGTGGTTAGTAAGGGGAGGGCATGAGGCCATTTACTACAGCCAGTGGTTAGTAAGGGGAGGGCATGAGGCCATTTACTGTGGTCAGTGGTTAGTAAGGGGAGGGCATGAGGCCATTTACTACAGCCAGTGGTTAGTAAGGGGAGGGCATGAGACGATATACTAACCACACCACAATGGTAATTGAAGTATGGTATTGCCACACTATGTAACATATTGACCACAGTAACACATTTGTTAAAACTCTTTGAAATATTGCAAAATTTTGCTAAATTCAGCATTTCCACAAATAAAAAGTCCACTTTTTACAAGAACACCTTGACCAATCATTTGTGTTTCCAGAGATGGTGGCTCCCACTGGTCTACTGTGTGAGCGGGAACCAATGAGGGGACAATGTACTGACTATGTCGTACGCTGGCACTACGACAGAGACGATGCACGCTGTAAACGTTTCTGGTATGGAGGCTGCAACAGCAATGGCAATAACTTTGAATCTGAGGAGAAATGCTTACAGAACTGTAAAACACCTGTAAAGGTACAAGGTAAGACTTGTCATACACCTGTAAGGTTACAAGGTAAGAATTGCCATACACCTGTAAAGGCACAAGGTAAGACTTGTCATACAACTGTAAGGGTACAAGGTAAGACTTGTCATACACCTGTAAGGGTACAAGGTAAGACTTGTCATACACCTGTAAGGGTAAGACATGTCGCCACCTTTAAAACAGACCATTACCTTATCTGTGATCGCACTATTTTTATACACTCCTCTGTCCATCCATATACATTGCATTGTGAGTGCAGGGTGTTCCAATTTTCGACCCAGTCTTTCGAAAAATTGGTGTAAATGATGAGAATTGCAAGATTTTTTGTATATTTTAAGAAGTTTTAATACTGTGTAAAATTTTATATAGCTATGGCCCTAATTTTTATTTCTCCAACACAACATAGTTTGGAAAGAAAGTAGGCAAAGGGAGGTAACTCCTATAATTACACATTAAAACATTTGTTTTTATGCACTCAATAGTCAAGTTTTAAAAAAAAAATGTAGTTCCTGAACCCTGGTTACTGGATTCACCCATGTGAGATAGAACAATCCAACATGGGACACATGTATCTTGGATATTTTGTGACAATGATATTCAAATATGATATTACAGATGTGTGTGTGTTGCCCTCGGTGACGGGAAGATGTCGTGCTGCCCACAGACGTTACTTCTTCAACTCTGCCACAGGGTCATGTGAACTCTTTACCTACGGAGGATGTAATGGCAATGCCAACCGCTTCACCACTCGTGAGGAGTGTGTAGCCCGGTGTGGGGGTAGAGGTCAGTGTCTTTACTCTTATAACATTTTCACCCATTAATGTCCTTTCTGACACAATGTGAAAGTCAAGCCAGGCTTGCAGAGATATACTATAGGAGTCAAATCTGACACACTTTAGGGTTCAAGTCTGACATACTGAAGGAGCCAAGACTGACATACTGAAGGGGTTAGGTCTGACATAGCTTAGGGGTCAAGACTGACATACTGAAGGGGTCAAAACTGACATACCTTAGGGGTCAAGCCTGACATACTGAAGTGGTCAAAACTGACATAGCTTAGGAGTCAAGACTGATATACTGAAGGGGTTAGGTCTGACATACTTTAGGGGTCAGGTATGACTAACTGTAGAGATCAAGACTGACATACTGTAGGGGCCAAGACTGACATACTGTAGGGGTCAAGACTGACATACTGTAAGGGTCAAGACTGACATACTGTAGAGATCAAGACTGACATACTGTAAGGGTCAAGACTGACATACTGTAAGTGTCAAGACTGACATACTTTAAGGGTCATGACTGACATACTGAAGGGGTCAGGTATGATAAACTTTAGGGGTCAGGTCTGATGTACTGTAGGGGTAAAGACTGACATACTGTAGGGGTCAAGACTGACATACTGAAGGGGTCAGGTATGACATACTTTACGGGTCAGGTCTGACATGCTGTAGGGGTCAAGACTGACATAATGTAGGAGTCAAGACTGACATAGCTAAGGGGTCAGGTCTGAAATATTTTAAGGGTCAGGTCTGACATACTTTAGGTGTCAGGGGGGTCAGGTCTGACATGCTGTGACTGACATACTTTAAGGGTCAAGACTGACATACTGAAGGGGTCAGGTATGACATACTTTAGGGGTCAGGTCTGACATGCTGTAGGGGTCAAGACTGACATAATGTAGGAGTCAAGACTGACATAGCTAAGGGGTCAGGTCTGAAATACTTTAGGGGTCAGGTCTGACTAACTGTAGAGATCAAGACTGACATACTGTAGGGGTCAAGACTGACATAACTTAGGGTTCAAGAGATAATGTAGGGGATAAAGTCTTGTTTAATATATTGGTCAAATCTAACCAATTTATTCTGTGTACTTCAGTTGACAATAGACGTCTGTGTGTGGTGTCCCAGTATGGCTGTTGTAGAGATGGAGTAACACCTGCTGATGGACCAGACAACTATGGCTGTCCAGATCATTGTGTGGTAAGTATGGCTATCCGGATCATTGTGTGGTAAGTATGGTTGTCCAGATCACTGTGTGGTAAGTATGGCTGTCCAGATCACTGTGTGGTAATTATGGCTGTCAAGATCATTGTGTGGTAAGTATGGCTGCCCGGATCACTGTGTGGTAAGTATGGCTGTCCGGATCACTGTGTTGTAAGTATGGCTGTCCAGATCACTGTATGGTAAGTATGGCTGTCCAGATTAATGTGTGGTAAGTATGGCTGTCCAGATCACTGTGTGGTAGGTATGGCTGTCCAGATCAGTGTGTAGTAAGTATTGCTGTCCAGATTACTGTGTGGTAAGTATGGCTGTCCAGATCACTGTGTGGTGAGTATGGCTGTCCAGATCACTGTGTGGTAAGTACGGCCATCCAGATCACTTTGTGGTAAGTATGGCTGTCTGGATCACTTTGTGGTAAGTACGGCTGTCCAGATCACTTTGTTGTAAGTATGGCTTTCCGAATCACTGTGTGGGAAGTATGGCTGTCCAGATCACTTTGTGGTAAGTATGGCTGTCCGGATCACTGTGTGGTAAGTATGGCTGTCCGGATCACTGTGTGGTAAGTATGGCTGTCCAGATCACTGTGTGGTAAGTATGGCTGTCCAGATCATTATGTGGTAAGTATGGATGTCCAGATCACTTTGCATTTTTTTTCTCAATCTGACATGGTAATTTGACTAAATCACATCAGAAATGATGCTAAAATTTTCAATAATGTTCACTGTTATTAAAGTATTGGTTTTGTTGTCTTGTAGAGGAGTGAGTTTGGATGTTGTGAAGACCAAGTTACAGCAGCAACAGGTAAACAGTAAAGAAAATTATGATGTTGAAGAGTACTGTTTGTATACATCAAAAACTCAAAAAAATTGTAACGGACACTTAAGCTGTTTATATATGAGGTACTAATTGTCCTGTCTGACTTGTTCGGACTTGATCATGAAAAAAACACATTTTCCTTAAATATTTATCACTCTTAAAGCATGGTTCAAGAACATGTCCTTTAGCTGAAGCTCTACTTTGTGGCACCTGCTAAATATAAAATCTGATTATCAGATTGTCTATTTTTCTTCTTCACCCACATTTCCGATTGATTAGATTCAAAGTTCTTTAATTTGAGCTTTTAATACATTGTATATGCTTACCTTCAGTATATTTTGGCTGATTCGCACGTAGTTCCATTTCAATTTTTATGGTGACTTGAGACAGAAGTAGTAGTATTATATGTGCTCTATAGGACCCAATGAGGAGGGGTGTGATGGTGTAGATGGTGGGTCTGGGGACATGGACACGGACAACGACTGTCGTGAGAACGTCCATGGCTGCTGTCCTGACGGAACTCCTGCTAGTGGACCAAACGAGGAAGGCTGTGATAGAACTGTTGATGTTGAAATTAAACCATCCTCAGGAGGTTTGTTTTCTCTGCTGTCATTTTAAACTCTAAGCCCTCTTCAACAAGGGTATTTCATAAGATGTCGTAATTCTCATTAAACTGGCGTCAGGAAGCATGTATGCTTCCTCTGATGAAGAACGACAATGTACCAACCATACCTTACATTTCCTTCAGCCATGTGTGAGGTACCATTCCAGCTTCCCCAAATCTTAAAACTGGGCCTGAATTCATGAAACTGTCTTCATGCTGTTTTCATGCTGAAGTATGGATTCTGTGTTTTTCTTGCAGCCCGATTAACTTGTGTGACATGAACAAAAAGTTGTGTGTAAATATTGAAAACAGTATTTGGTTTTTAGTCTAAAATTCTTCCAAATCATTAAGAAAACATGGATTTTTAACTATCACCGGACAAGAAATTGGGCTTGAGCACAGAATCTGAGTTTGATGATTTGCGGTTGTATAAATACAGGCACAGGCACAGACCTCATAGCATGTCATCAAACCATTTTACAGCATCATATTAACAGATGAGTGATATTATTGTTTATTGTAGACGAATGTAACAAGCCTCAGATGAGGGGTCCCTGCTCAGATTATACTGTAAAGTGGTTCCATAACACTGACGAAAAGCGATGTGAGCGATTCTGGTATGGAGGTTGTCAAGGAAACGGAAACAAATTTGAAAGTGAAGAGGAATGTACAAGAACTTGTGTAGAAAAAACTCAAGACAGTACGTATGTTAAGACTGGTGACAACTGTTGTACAGTGTGTTAAGACTGATGACAACTGTTGTACAGTGTGTTAAGACTGGTGATGACTTTTGTACAGTGTGTTAAGACTGATGACAACTGTTGTACAGTGTGTTAAGACTGGTGATGACTGTTGTACAGTATGTTAAGACTGATGACAACTGTTGTACAGTATGTATGTTAAGACTGGTGACAACTGTTGTACAGTATGTTAAGACGATGACAACTGTTGTACAGTATGTTAAGACTGGTGACAACTGTTGTGCAGTATGTTAAGACTGGTGACAACTGTTGTACAATATGTTTGTTAAGATTGGTGACGACTGTTGTACAGTATGTATGTTGAGACTGGCGACAACTGTTGCACAGTACATTTGTTAAGACTGATGACAACTGTTGTACAGTATGTTAAGACTGGTGATAACTGTTGTACAGTATGTTAAGACTGGTGACAACTGTTGTGCAGTATGTTAAGACTGGTGACAACTGTTGTACAGTATGTTAAGACTGGTGACAACTGCTGTACAGTATGTTAAGACTGGTGACAACTGTTGTACAGTACATTTGTTAAGACTGATGACAACTGTTGTACAGTATGTATGTTAAGACTGGTGACAACTGTTGTACAGTGTGTTAAGACTTGTGATGACTGTTGTACAGTATGTTAAGACTGATGACAACTGTTGTACAGTATGTATGTTAAGACTGGTGACAACTGTTGTACAGTATGTTAAGACGATGACAACTGTTGTACAGTATGTTAAGACGATGACAACTGTTGTACAGTATGTTAAGACTGGTGACAACTGTTGTACAGTGTGTTAAGACTGATGTATTTACTAATGTACGTAATTCACCATGAATGTTATCTGACATTATGGTAGAGAGTTCCAGTGTTGTATCTCTAACATTGACGAGTTCAATTTTTTTGAGAATTTCAAGCTTGGGATGTCTGTTCACCATAAAAAGTGTTACATATAAACAAAATATTTGTATTTATAGGCCTTATAGGACTTTTTGTCTTGTTTCTGTGAAACTACACATGCTATTCAGTTGTGGAAATCTATTTCTTGTTTCATACATGGAAATAGGTGGATGGGTCTGTTCGAATGAAAAAAATAAGGGAACCTATTAGAGTATTAAAGACTAAAGTGATCTAAAAATAATTATCGAATCATGTAGTGACTTGATGCTTGTTCAGACAAATAATACCCTATTTTTGTCACATTTTCTGGAACCTCCGCAAAAATCTGTTCATTTTGCAGTTTTGGCCAATTTTGTACTTTGTGGAGCAGTTGGAATTCAAATTACAATTTTATGTTGTTTTCAGTAAACTTACCTTGTAAACTCCCCAAAGATATTGGACCATGTCGAGCACTTGTACCTCGATTTTACTTCAACCAGCAGACTGAAAGATGTGAGCAGTTCGGATACGGAGGTTGCCAGGGGAATGCCAACAATTTTGCGACTGTTGATTTGTGTCGACAGACATGCGAGGAGATCATCGTGGAGGAGCTTGGTAAATTGTTTGTAAATCAGCAAACATTAAAGTAACTCAGTCTTGATCGTGTTTTTAGCTCACCTGGCCCGAAGGGCCAAGTGAGCTTATGGCATAGTGTGGCGTCCGGCGTCCGTCCGGCGTCCGTCCGGCGTCAACTTTTTACTTTAAACAACTTCTTCTCAATAACCAAGAGGCCCAGGCTGATGATATTTGGCCTGTAGCATGCTGGGATGAAGGGCTACCAAGTTTGTTCAAATTAATGACTTTGACCCACTTTCAAGGTCACAGGGATCAAATGTCGTAAAATCTGCAAACAACTTCTTCTCAATAACCAAAAGGCCAAGGGTACTGAAATTGGGCCTGTAGCATGCTGGGATGAAGGGCTACCAAGTTTGTTCAAATGAATGACCTTTTTCCACTTTCAACCTAATGTCCTTGTTCGACATTCGAGGTCACAGGCGTCATATGTTTAAATCTTTGAATAGGTTCTTATGAATCGAACACTGATATTCTGCCTGTAGCTGTTATTTAGTCCACTATTAAGATTACAAGTGTGAGATTAATACCAGGTGAGCGATGCAGGCCCATTGGGCCTCTTGTTAAGACTTTATTGTATTACATCGTATGTCTTTATTTGTTCTGCATCCTCACTTTGCTACACATAGAAAATTAAATACGTGTTGTGAGACGATAACACCATTTGGTCAGGTGACCAATATTGCAACGTCACCAATCCAACTGTGACTTTGCTGTTCCGAAAACTCAACAAACTGACATTAGAATATTGAAATTGTAAATGATGTTGAGATTGTGAATAGTGATGTTATGGTCCTATAATACACAGTGCTAACATAAAGTAGCTTGAAGATAACTATTGTTTAGTGTATAACTAACATTGCTTTGTATTGTAGATACATGTCAGCAGCCGATGGAGATCGGGCCGTGTCGCGCTAGTTACCCCCGCTTCTACTACAATAGTCAGACACGCGAGTGTACACAGTTTACGTATGGGGGATGTGATGGAAACGACAACAATTTCGCCACCCGTGAGAAATGTGTCCAGCACTGTGCTCCCAATGTGATCCCTTCAGTGACAGATGCCCCTGTAGTGCCAGTGGAAGGTAAACTGTGTCTAAGGCTATTGTTGACCACTCTCCTAATTATTACTTATGTCCATGATGAAAATATTTAAAGATTCGCTATTTCAATTGTTATGCAGATGGACCTAGCATGTAGTTAAAAGTTGGGTTTATACAATTAGGCCTATTAATAGGGTGTCGCTGTATTAATGTTTGGTGTTGTCTCACAGCTTTAGGTCATGAATGAAGGTTATAGCTTACACCAGTGTCTGCCTGTCATCGTGGTTGGCAGCATACTTTTGTCAGAACTCTTACTTCATAAATACAGTGACTTTGGTTTATTACTGTCCATAGATAATGTAAAGACCTAAGGGTAAAAAAATCTTCCTTATAGAAATGTATAGAACTCAAAGATAAAGTTTTATTTTATATTTGCTACAGATGTCAGGTTTATAAAAGAAATGACTCAAGTTCTATTATATTAATACGTGTAATGTAATGGATCTGTTTCACAGAAAAAGACATTTGTCTTTTGGCCTACGAGACTGGGTCCTGCTCTGAAGCACATTCGAGGTGGTATTACGATTTCAATGAAGGATTCTGTAAACAATTTGTGTATGGAGGCTGCGGACAAAATGAAAACAACTTTAACTCGAAGGAGGAATGTGAAAACAGCTGTAGCCGTGAACGTAAGTACCATGGGTGGGCTTATATCTAAGGGTAAGAAAAGGTGAAAAATGTCAAGAAAAGGGTGTGGATTTATCCCCAATCATGGGTTTATGAACATGTACACAAGACAGGAATTGAATGGTCAGTATTCAACACCTATAATAATGTTCATTAAAATGGACAAACCACTTGGTTCCTGCAGTCACGACCAAAATATGAACTGACCATTAAACACCTGTTTTTAGCTCACCTGGCCCGAAGACTTATGCCGTACTGCGGCGTCCAGTGTCCGTCTGTCGAACTGGAGGACCTAGGGTCATGATATTTGGCCAGTAGGTACCTGAGATGGAGTGCTATAAAGTTTCCTCATTAAAATGACCTTGACCTACTTTCAAGGTCACTGGGGTCAAACAACAATATCCTAAGAACCATTTGGACTAGAGTCATGATACTTGGGTATGTTATGAAGACCAGCAGTGCGAATATTTTTCTCAGTGACAGTAATGAGGTCAAAGGTCAACTTTAAGTGAAAGTCGGAGGTCAAATGTCAACCTAGGTTAAAAGTTTTAACAATCTTCTTCTCAAGTTCAATAAGGCCGCGGGTCATGATATTTGGCCAGTGAGTACCTGGGATAGAGTGCTATAAAGTTTCCTCATTAAAATTACCTTGACTTACTTTCAAGGTCACAGGGGTCAAATATGTTAAACATTCCAAACAACAATATCCCAAGAACCATTTAAGCTAGAGTCATGAAACTTGGTAATGTTATGTAAACCAGCAGTGCAAATCATTTTCACAATTACAGTAATGAGGTCAAAGGTCAACTTTGGTTAAAAGCTTTAACAATCTTCTCAAGTTCCATAAGGCCCAGGGTCATGATATTTGGCCAGTAGGTACCTTGGATGGAGTGCTATAAAGTTTCCTCATTAAATGACCTAGACCTACTTTCAAGGTCACAGGGGTCAAATATGTTAAAAATTTCAAACAACAATATCCTAAGAACCATTTGGACTAGAGTCGTAATACTATGATATGCTATGATACTTGAGTATTTAATGCAGACCAGCAGTGCAATTTTTTCTCTCAATGACAGTAATGAGGTCAAAGGTCAAATTCAAATGCTAGTGGGGGGTCAAATGGCAACAAGGGTTAAAAGCTTTAACAATCTCTTCTCTAAGGCCCAGGGTCATGATATTAGGCCAGTAGGTACCTGGGATGGTATCTTCAGAAACGTTTAAGAGATGTTAAAATGTCTTGTGCTCTAGTTACCAAATTTGGTCCTAAGTTACCTATATGTCAGTTTCATGTAACAAAAGAAACAGATGGGCGATACAGGCCCTCTGGGCCTCTTGTTATCATTGTAAATTGTTGAGTGCTATAACACCTCGACATCAGAGATTTAGCCTCACTTTAGCTATCATTTAGTAACATTTAGGCCTCACAATAACAGAAACCACACAGACAGATCCATGCTGTAATTTACATTTATACCTCAATACAAACTTGTTATTCTAGATGTTTGTGGCAGTGGAGAGTCCAACTCCCCAATACAGTGTAATGCCTACATCCGGCGCTACCGCTATGACCGTGAGAGTGCCACCTGCCAGGAGTTTATCTATGGTGGATGTGGAGGAAATTCTAATAATTTTGCAACACAAGAGGCTTGTCTGCGCAAGTGTATCACCGGCGGATCTGTCACACGCCCCATGTCACAGAAAGGTACATTAATGTGAATGCCTAGGAATAATCATTAAATTTGACTCAAACTTGTGGATTCAAATCTGAATATTTTTGGTAGTTGTAAAGAGGAAGTTACAATAAAACATGATTTTTCATATGTATTTTTTCTAGAAATCTGTGCTCTGCCAAAGGAAAGTGGGCCATGTTTTGCATACATGAGACGTTACTTCTTCGACTCCGACACCGGGTCATGCGAGCAGTTTATCTATGGTGGATGTAGTGGTAACCAAAACAACTTTGAGAATATTGAAACCTGTCAGGAGAAGTGTGCCGAGGACACAGTAGACGGGTCAGGGGAGGTGGAAACAGACAGTTCAGGTAAATGGTGCTGCCATGGTCGTTATGATGAGGAGATACGTGTGATAAATCTTCCTTTATTGTTATTGAAGCGAGGGGGGGACAGTACACTTTGATATCCAGGTTATCTATGTTGTAGAGTATTGTGGTCTAGAGATGGACGCAGGGCCTTGCCGCTCCAGTGTCCCTTCCTGGTACTACAGTCACACAGAGGGCCGCTGTAAGGAATTCCTGTACGGAGGATGTGGGGGCAACAATAACCGATTCAATTCGCAAATAGTGTGTGAGGCATCATGTAGTGGTGATGGTAAGTGTTCTAGACAGATAGAACTAAGCAATGATAAATATCCACTCTGTAGGGAGGATGTTGACAAAAAAATACATGTATATGTTTAAATATCTGTGTGTAGACTACAACCAGACTGGGGTGACTGTCCACTATACATATATATATAGGTCATTATAGACAGGTCTGACTATCTACCATTCATCCTTACAGCTGTGTTTAGTCTACAACCAGACTGGGGCGACTGTCCACTATACATATATATATAGGTCATTATAGACAGGTCTGGCTATCTACAATTCTCCTTACAGCTGTGTTTAGTCTACAACCAGACTGGGGCGACTGTCCACTATACATATATATAGGTCATTATAGACAGGTCTGACTATCTACCATTCATCCTTACAGCTGTGTTTAGTCTACAACCAGACTGGGGTGACTGTCCACTATACATATATATAGGTCATTATAGACAGGTCTGACTATCTACTATTCCTCCTTACAGCTGTGTTTAGTCTACAACCAGACTGGGGTGACTGTCCACTATACATATATATATAGGTCATTAAAGACAGGTCTGACCATATACCATTCCTCCTTACAACTGTAAGCTACAACCAGACTGGGGTGACTGTCCACTATACATATATATAGGTCATTATATACAGGTCTGACTATCTACCATTCCTACTTACAGCTGTGTGTATGCTACAACCAGACAAGGGTAACTGTGTCCGGAGTGTCCAGCGCTACTACTACGATGTATCTCAGGACGCCTGCGTCAGTCTGGACTATGGCGGCTGTGGTGGCAATGCTAACAACTTTGAATCCCGGGCAGCATGTGTCGGCAAGTGTGGAGGTTCATACGTCACTCCAGAACCACACAGTGGTAAGTCTATAGGGAGACATTGACTTGTGTGTCACTCCAAATCCACACAGTGGTAAGTCTATAGGGAGACATTTATTTGTATGTCACTCCAAATCCACACTGTAGTAAGTCTAGGGAGACAAAATTTTCAGTATAAGGATTCTAATTATAGATTTCATTCATATACTCTGTAGTTCATAGCTATGTTGGTATAAAATATTAAACATGGATCACAAATCGAAACATCATGTGAGCATTTATATTAATTACCAAGTCACCTGCATTTGTGCAGATCAATCAGCTAATAGCCTCAAAGACCTGTACAGACTGTGGAACATTTTGAAACCTACTGCATTTGCATTGATTGGCTCAATACTGAGAATGTTGAAAGGCTTTTAAGACTTTGAATATTAGAATACCCTTGTTACAAATGGCAAATTGTAATAGTTTCAAACGCCATTACTGCAAAATTTGATGACTTTAAAATGTAAACATATTAAAACGTGCTTATGTACTTTTATATTAAATAGATAATGTGTGTGCCATGGACAATGACAGAGGTTCTTGCAGTAACTACGCTGTGCAGTGGTTTTACAATCAAGATGAAGGAGTTTGTGGCCGCTTCTGGTATGGTGGATGTGACGGCAATGGCAATCGATTCAGCACAGAGCAGGAATGCAAACAGAGATGTGGTGTAGAGGTGGTCACTGCTCGGCCCCGCCCGACTTATGCCCCGGTCACAGTACGCCCAACTTATGCTCCTGTGACCACCCCCAGGCCTGACCCTGTTTACACACCCCGACCAGCATATACCACTCCTAATCCAGACACTAATGTCATTGTCGGTAAGTTGTCATTAAAACAGGAGATATATATACATGCTCACATGACAAATCCAATGTTACAGATTAGCAAAGTTGTCTGCAGGATACATTTTAGTACAAGATTAATGACCTTTACCCCTTTTGTCTGACCTCCAGAGTATGACATCTGTGACCTTGACCAGGCACGAGGGCAATGCAGTAACTACACGGTCAAGTGGTACTTTAATAAAGATGACCAGAAATGTATGAGGTTCTGGTACGGAGGCTGTGATGGTAATGCCAACAATTTTGATGATGAGGCGGAGTGTCAGAATATTTGTGTGGAGCGTCGCCGCCCAGTAGGTAGGTCACCAGCACAGTTATGTGACTCTACTGGTCCTGATGTACTTATAATTCACATGTTCGGTTGGTCCTGATGTACTTATAATTCACATGTAAGAGGATTAAAACTGTCATACTGTGCACACTATTAGTCTCCCAACAGTACCTGGGGTGACTATAGGTTTGCACTCTATTATTTTGTGTTTTATTTACAATCATTATTTTTAATAATAACTTTCTTTTATAATATATTATACAAGTAATAATGTATCAAATATTATAGGATGTATCAAAAATATAGGATTATAAGTAATAATGTCTCAAAAATATAGGATCATAAGTAACAATGTATCAAAAATATAGAATTATTAGTAGCAATGTATCGAAAACAAATATATAAAAAAATCTAGAGTAACCAGATTTCGTATGCAAGTTTGACATGACTAGCAGAGTGCAGAGCAAAAGAAGTATGTCACTGTGACCTATATCCTGAGATAGGTCAATAAATAAACCATTACCAATTTGCGACTGGATTGCCTTGTAATCCTTCGTTCATAATGAAAGTGGTCAGGGTTCTAATTCTTCTGGTAGAGATGTTTTTTGTAAAAATTAAAAGGAGATTTTAATGAATATAATTCCTTCTTTTTGCTAATACATATAGTATATAATAAACTCCAAATCACAAAAGTGCCAGAGAAATTGGAACTCTTCTTTTGAGATACAATACATAGTTGTGACTATTTACCTTAATGAGTTTCTATTTCATATGAGATTTATGAATCATGTCCAGAAGGTTTCTTTTTTAGAAAGGAAACTTCGAGACAAACTTCATAATTCTTGTGTTAAAAAAAAGATAAATGCAAGATCTTGTTGCCACTTTACCATCAGCTTATGAGGAGAATATTTGTGGGGTTTGTTTTTACCCTCAGCTGATGAGGGGAATATTTGTGGGGCTTGTTTTTACCATCAGCTTATGAGGAGGTTATTTGTGGGGTTTGTTTTTACCATCAGCTTTTGCGAATATTTGAGGGGTTTGTTTTTACCATCAGTTTATGAGAATATTTGTGGGGTTTGTTTTTACCATCAGTTTATGAGAATATTTGTGGGGTTTGTTTTTGCCATCAGCTTATGAGGATATTTGTGGGGTTTGTTTTAACCATCAGCTTATGAGGATATTTGTGGGGGTTGTTTTTACCCTCAGCTTATGAGGAGCATATTTGTGGGGTTTGTTTTTACCATCAGTTTATGAGAATATTTGTGGGGTTTGTTTTTACCATCAGCTTATGAGGGGAATATTTGTGGGGTTTGTTTTTACCATCAGCTTTTGCGAATATTTGAGGGGTTTGTTTTTACCATCAGTTTATGAGAATATTTGTGGGGTTTGTTTTTGCCATCAGCTTATGAGGATATTTGTGGGGTTTGTTTTTACCATCAGTTTATGAGAATATTTGTGGGGTTTGTTTTTGCCATCAGCTTATGAGGATATTTGTGGGGGTTGTTTTTACCCTCAGCTTATGAGGAGGATAATTGTGGGGTTTGTTTTTACCCTCAGCTGATGAGGGGAATATTTGTGGGGCTTGTTTTTACCATCAGCTTATGAGGAGGATATTTGTGGGGGTTGTTTTTACCCTCAGCTTATGAGGAGGATATTCGTGGGGTTTGTTTTTACCATCAGCTTATGAGGGGAATATTTGTGGGGTTTGTTTTTACCATCAGCTTTTGCGAATATTTGAGGGGTTTGTTTTTACCATCAGTTTATGAGAATATTTGTGGGGTTTGTTTTTGCCATCAGCTTATGAGGATATTTGTGGGGGTTGTTTTTACCCTCAGCTTATGAGGAGAATATTTGTGGGGTTTGTTTTTACCCTCAGCTGATGAGGGGAATATTTGTGGGGCTTGTTTTTACCATCAGCTTATGAGGAGAATATTTGTGGGGTTTGTTTTTACCATCAGCTTATGAGGGGAATATTTGTGGGGTTTGTTTTTACCATCAGCTTATGAGAATATTTGTTGGGTTTGTTTTTACCATCAGCTTATGAGAATATTTGTGGGGTTTGTTTTTGCCATCAGCTTATGAGGATATTTGTGGGGTTTGTTTTTACAATCAGCTTATGAGGATATTTGTGGGGTTTGTTTTACCATCCGCTTATGAGGATATTTGTGGGGTTTGTTTTACCATCAGCTTATGAGGATATTTGCGGGGTTTGTTTTTACCATCAGCTTATGAGGGGAATATTTGTGGGGTTTGTTTTTACCATCAGTTTATGAGAATATTTGTGGGGTTTGTTTTTACCCTCAGCTTATGAGGAGAATATTTATGGGGTTTGTTTTTACCATCAGCTTTTGAGAATATTTGAGGGGTTTGTTTTTACCATCATCATTTTTTTCTCAACAACTCCATTTAGATGTGTTGCCTGCTGTGATAATTCTGACATCACAATGGGTGGTATTGTGTATTGGTATTGTAAGAAGTACACAAAATATATGACATGTGTATTCACTTTATAACAGTAATTATGTAATAAAGTAAGGTAATATATAGTAACAGAGCAGTCCATAGTTAAGTATTATACTATGTTGCTGGCAGCAATGTATCATGTACATGTATAGCTGTTTAAATACAAATTATCACAATATATAACGATCACAATGTATAATACATGTATGTAACAAATGTAATAAATAACAATGTATATTCTACTGTAACAATGTATCATAAAGTAACAATGTATCGTAGAGTAACAATGTATCATAAAGTAACAATGTATCGTAGAGTAACAATGTATCATAAAGTAACAATGTATCGTAGAGTAACAATGTATC